GTCAACACTGCTCTGATACCATTTTGTCACACCCAATTTTAAGGATAAAATTGAATGCACAAAACTCGTGTGTGCCCAGGAATCAATCACACACACAAGCTGACAAATTACATAAAGTATCATCACGGTGTCTCATACATCAGAGTTATAATATAACTTAGTCTTATACATCACAGCGGAATAATAAAAAGATGATAAAACTCTCGTGGCCGTCTTCACAGGGAAGGTCAACTGGTTGACCACAAGCCTAATAATCCTCCGGAAATCCTCATACCCGTTGTTATCTCATTTACCCATCCGGATTTTTATCCAAGTAAAGAAAATAAACAAGTGTAAGTACATTCCGTACTTAGCAAGCTAACATGGGGTTATGAAGCTCAAAAGGTTAGACTCGTTAATCTGCAGTTAGCATTTTTAATAGGTCAAGCTTTTATTCTCAAGTATTATCAAGTTATGCTTAAGCTCCCATTTAATTCCCATAAGAACATATATCGAGTCATATGTACCATATATCATCACTAAACAACTTTATAAGATCATCATCAAGTATCCAGTTATTCTGTGAGTTTTCCGGGCAGCTCAGAATCAGTGAGCACACGCACCATATAATAACGCTTTGTTACCCTCTGCAGAGGTGGTGCACATTCACCATGATGTCGTGATCCCCATATGCCCGGGTTAATTACTCCCATGTCACTTCCAAGGTGAGCGGGCAGGGTACACTATGAAGCCATTTCATAGGTTTCCCTAACAAGTTAGGGCCACTAGGTTTCCTTGGCGGCGGATGTAGAAACCCCCTTTCCTATGGCACATATCCATCATGCGGCTATACACATAGGAACAGAGGCAGCCCTATACCCAACGTGGCAAGCCCCATTTGCGCCAAAAAGGTAACCTCTAACTAGCTAGAAAATGTCCTATTATGAGCTAAAGTCGAGCCATATGACTCTCCCGGTTGCCTTTGTCAGGTCCCAAATTTTGCCGACAGATAAGTCCTTATGGAGGGCCGGGAGCAACATGAACAAAGGTCATTTGCACTTTCGCCCTATGGAACAGTTGTTATAAATCAAGTTATACTTTTAGTTCCATAGATTCATTCATCATCATGTAGATCATGTTCAGTTAGAGCACTAGCAATCTACCCATATGCAATTACCCAATAGGAGTCAAGGGAACAAGTCATCAATTGTCTAGAATGTCCTTAGGGTTATCAAAATTAGACACATGCACATGAGTAATTGATTAAAGTGAAATAGGACATCAAGGAAGGCCCATGTTATACTTGCCTTGGTTCACAAATTCGTGCTGGTCCTGCTGGTCGTCGAAGAGTTCTTGGTCTCCAACGTTTTCCTCACCGTCTGAACGCGACCAACACGGCAACATACAACATTCCAAAAGCATTCATGCAAAGCAAACATTCCTATCATTAGAACAGTACACCAACAGTATTGAAAACAAGATAAAATGTTTGTAAAACTAATCTACGTTTCGCTACGATCACGTCAACGCGAAGTTCACGAAAAACGGAGCTACAATGCGAAAGTTATGATTAAAACGGGTTTTCCAAAAGCCCTATATTTAATTAATTCTAATCATGAAATTAAAAAGTTCCAAACTTGACTAACAGTAGCTCCAACATGTAGCTTATGAAATTACGAAGCTAACACGATTTGAATGGGTCAATTCGGAGCTAAAACGACAATTTTATAAGCGAAACAGTTCAAATGGCATTTCTGTAAATACTGAAAGCGTACTTTTGACTAAACCAGTGAACTATACGCTTTCAAAACGAGAATGCGTACTCGAGGAAATACGCTAAGGACGGCGGGTTCTATTACGCGAAAACAGGAGGGCTCTTTAGCAAATCTACCCGCGAAGGGGTATCGGCCAACGGTGGCCGTTGGATCAAGATCGGATGGTCTAGAACAGATGGGAGGGAGAGAGAAAGGGGCGCCGGCGCCGGAACAGGGGCAGCCGCGGCGGGGCGCCATTGCCGGCGGCATGGAGGTCGCCGGAGTGAGTGGTACAGGGGCTAGGGGCCACGGTTCGAATAACCGAGGGCACCGGGGGAGTTCTGAGGTGAAGGGAACTCGCCAAGGCCAAGCGCTTGGCCGGGAACGCTAAGCAAGGCGAGGTGGCGGCCATGGCCGGCGGCAAGGAGGTTGACGGCGCTCGCGGATTGGGCGCTAGAAGCCATGAAACTCGAAATAAACTGCATGGGGAGAAAGAGGGGAGCACGGCAAAGCTCACGAGAGGGAAAAATCGAGTCGTTAAGCGGCTCGAAGATGGTTGTCCGCGCGGAGGGAGGATTTGCGGATCCCGACGACCTCGGGCGATGGTGCGGGCTTCCTCGGTGCAAACAACGCGAAAGTGAGAGCGGGGGCAGCAGGGGGCGGAGGCGGCTCGGTGCCGATTTAAAGCGGCCGGGCGCGAGGCACACGCTCCCACGCGCGTGAGGAGCGGGCGCAGTCATGCGGCGCGATCTCCCGGCGCGTCTGCAGCGGTTCTTTGGAGGAGGAGGAAGGCGCCGACACATGGGGCCCGCCGTCAGGCCGGGGAGGGAAAGGAGGCGGGCGGCTTAGCCGCACCAGGTGATGGGCCGCCCAGAAGGTAACGGGGGAGGGTAAAGAGAAGGCGCGCGGGCCTTGGCCAAGGTTGAGTTAGGCCAGCCAGGCCCGGCGGGGAAAAGAATGGCCAACAGGCCGAATTGAGGAAGAGAAAGGAAGGGAAAATATTTCCTTTATCTTTTTCAAATCAATTTCCAAACTCATTTTCAAAAGGTTTTTTTTTTTTTAAAACCTTTTAGCATTTGAAACAAAACCACTCATCACAAAAATAAATATGCATCAGCATGAATGCATCAACATGTTTCTATCCTTATATTTACTTTTAATTTCATTAAAAAAAAAATATTACTTCCTAAATTCAAATTCCCACAAAATACAAAATTAATCACTTTCTCCTATTTCAAAAATATGCAAAATTTAGGGTGTTACAGGATATGCGCACGCAATCCCTATCCTTTCCCCTCGGAAGACTCGCCGGACGTTTCATCTCTACGGGCGGGCCACGACTCATCACAAGTAAGAGGAATATGGATCAAAAAACACCTCTACAGCTCATCTGGGTCCAGGAGTTCAAAGGTTGGCCCGTCAACGGGTTCGACAGCTGCTCTAGACACCCTTAGGATAAGGGATAGAAAGGGATGGGCCTGCAAGCGGCCAGTACCCAGGCGCACGAGCGCCACGGGCATCTTGGCCCACGATCGAGGCTCAGCCAGGCTGACCCTAGCCAGATCCTCGCGAACAGGATGCCGGGACCCCAATCGAACTATCCAGCTAATGAACCACCAAATCTCACGGTCATACCCGCGAAGGGTCCGACCTCGGCAAGAAGGAATCACCATCCCCAAGACACGTTGTGGGCGACAAAAGAAGGCCAGGGCCCTCAGAGTCCTCCCTTTCGGAAAATCCTCCGAAGGAGTATTCTACTCCTCCGCAGGCTCGGGGGCTACACCCACTGGCAAGTCAAAAAATTAAATCGCCTGGGGGCTCAGGGGCTACTGTCGGGGACCAATACTAGGGTACCCGAAGAGGGGGAGCTAATAACCATCAACGTTAATTCATCCGAGCAGTCAAGAGCGCGACTACACCTCTTGCTGGGCTCCGCCTCGTCCGACCACCGAGGTCATGGGCTCCGCCTCGTCCGACCCCCGAGGGTTGGCTCCGCCTCGATGGACATTGAGGCCGCGGGCTCCACCTTGCCCGACCCCCGAGGGTTGGCTCCGCCTCGGTGGACACTGAGGCCGTGGGCTCCACCTCGCCCGACCCCCGAGGGTTGGCTCCGCCTCGTCGACCCCAAGGGCTGGCTCCGCTTCGGCTGAACCCCGAGGGTAGGCTCTGCCTCGACCGACCCCCGAGGGTTGGCTCCGTTTCGGTCGACGTCTGAGGGCTAGCTCCGCCTCGCCCGACGTCCGAGGGCTGGCTCCGCTTCAGCTGACCCCCGAGGGTAGGCTCCGCCTCAGCCAACCCTCGAGGGTTGGCTCCGCCTCGGCCGACGTCTGAGGGCTGGCTCCGCTTCGCCTAACGTCTGGGGGCTGACTCCGCTTTGCCCGATCCCTCGGACACGGTTTCTAACGGAAGCTCACGCCGCCGCCAACCACTACGGGCCAGAAAGTACAACCCCAGATCAAACTTCTAGCATCGTGCAGGGAGCGGTCACATCTCAACACGACCCGTCCCCGCGACATGTCATTCTAGGGAACTCATATCGCCCATAGTGACGGACGCGTGGTCACTATGTTGTCTACTCCCTGTACGACCGCTGATCAGCATGCTGATTCGCTGCGCCGCCCTCCGAGGCAGAGTGGGACGTGATGACCCGCTGATAATTCCAGGACATGGCATTGTCAGCGGACAGGCCTCCGACGTGGAGCTGTCCCTATCACCACCTGCCGTGTCAGCGAGGCCCGCACAGAGGAAAAGAAAGGCCCGACAACCCTGAGGAACTTGCTCTACATCTCATTGTAACCCATGCTATCCCTTGACATATAAAAAGGAAAGCAGACCGTCCCATTAAGGGGCATCGCATCGCATATCGCACTACGTCACACCAAAACCACTAGCATCGAACCTCGAACACATAGTTGGACAGCGACCGAGCTCTCGGCACCCATTCGTTCTTTTCATCAGAGACTTAGGATATATCCCTCTCTCACCTGTTTGTAACCCCTACTACCAACTTTTCAGTGCGAGTAACACGAACAGTAGCAACGAACTGGACATAAAGACATTCCACCCGAACCAATATAAACCTCGTGTCCTCTTAGCACATTATCTAAGCCAGACGCGTAATAATACAAATTTACTCGTTGGTGTTTACTCGAAACACCGACAGTTTGAAAACAGTGGCCAAAGATAAATCTGCTCTCTTCCCGTTAATCAACAATCTCGGTACTGCTCAACAAATAAAATAGAATGACTGCCAGGGGTAGATAGTAGCTACTTCAAAGCACCCGGATCCTGGCCAAGCAACCTGCCTTGTGCTGGAAGCAGCGAGCACTGCCATTCAGCTTTGCCCTCTCCATGAAGAAGCTCCCCGTCGACGCCACAACCATTGTGAGTATTGCCAACTGGCCTAATCTTTACTTCTTTTATCTGCGAGCAATTATTGTTGCAAAACAAAATGCCACGTCAGTGGAAGGTCATTTACAAAGCAAGGCATCTGATTGAATCTATTAGGCGTCCTGTACTCTAGGAAAGCGCTTGCTATTAAGTTCAAGGATGTCTACAATTGGGATGGTAAGCCTAGTTACATGAGCTGCCACAAGAAGTGATGTAAACAAATACAAGAAAGTTACAATACCTTGACATATTCTACGTAAGGGAGTAAAAGATGCCAGCAAAGCTGATAGGCGACAAAGAAGCAAAATAGTCTGAGTCTGCCACTTCCATGGACAAGAATCAAGTCCAGACTGCCATCGTCATGCTGAGCTTTTGGTGCAATAACTGGAGACAGTAACCCCTGGGCAGGCTTGCAAAAGTGATTGCAGACAAAAATGCCAAGAAACTCCCCATTCCTGGTAACCCAATTATCTTCAATCCTACCATTGATTTGTGTACCTCTCCTAACCTTGCCATCATCAGAAAGCTGTTCATGACATTTTTCAGTCAGTGGTCTCAATTCAGAATTTCTCCCTGGTGATGCAGGGAGATAGTCTACCTCAAATCTGTACTGAGGTAGTGAAAGAAACTTCAGAAAGCCAGCAACAACATAACGGAAGGGACCAAACTGCATGCGGAAGTTTTCAGACAGTTGCAGAACTGCAGAGAAAAAAAATAAAAAGTGTTAAGCTTTAAGATGAATAGATAGATGACTTATATAGGAACAAGGGTATATAGAAGATAAGATGCGTCAGATTAAGAACATATGAAATTTGTGGGTTTCCAAGTAGAGTTTTCAATCAATAAGAGATAATCAAGCAAGAACTAGAAAATAATAACAATGGTGGCATGTTTGATAGCGGTGGTGCAAATTTAAAGTATTTAGGCATCTTTATTTCTTGAGAGTATGAACATAACAGATTGTTGGAGCAATTCAATTAGCCAGGCACAAACCAGCATATCCATATATCTAATCTAATTCTAAGTTGGCAAGGCCATGAGTTGAAGTTCTGTTACTTATTTTTGTTCTTACCTCTAAGTTCTGCTGTATTATATGGTTTCAAACCCATGTTAAGCCCCTTTCATTCGTACTAGCAACTAAGACAAAAACAATAATTATCACTTTCTTGCTTGAGGCCATACCTTACTTATGGCTCTCTAGATACCAAATAACTGACAGAAAAAAACAGTTACATATAATTTGATTAATTTGTAACCTACATCGACAGCATTGGGATCATTTCGATGGTAGAGTTAAGATGGCAAGGACATCACATCAGATTATCAGAATTAGATGTGCAGAAGAATGAAAAGTTACCATCAGCTACGAAACCATAGTAGGAAGCTGTCAAACCAAAATGAGTCACTCCAGCTTGGATCCATTTTACGGCAAACACATCTATTGGTGTGAAACCTCCCTGCAGAAGAATGGCCTTACAAATTAATATCTACTGTTAAGTTTGATGATATGCTGAGTCAGAGAAATCCTTGGTTGTACAATCTAGTATGAAATAAATGAACATGACATAACCAAGGTACCTTAGCTAAAGCAATTGCAGCAGAAACAGGATCCCTGATGCCAAGAATAGTCCACACCAATGAATTATCAGAACCAGCAGGTATTATCCCAATGGGAAATTGAATTGCCACTTCAAAATCGTCTCTACTAAGTAATCCATTCAAAACCTGCATTAAAAAATAGAAATATGTCATCAGCAGGATAGATAACTTCAGACTAGGAAAAACAATAAAAAATGCTTCTACACATGCCCAGGGTGCACTTGTGTCCACCACCAGTTGAAGACAGATAACTGCCAGTGCTTCATAGTACATACTAGTCCAAACTACTATAAACAACTGCTGCTAGAGGTCAGCCATAACCATGAGCTAAAACTGGTAGCTTTTATATGAGAGCAATGAGAACAGTCCCATCTAACAGACATGTTTTATATGTAGTAGATGCAAAGAAAACTTGATTGCCAAAAAGCAAATTGTATTCCAGTTTATTTTCTATACAGAAAGAAAGAAATATAGAAAAAGAGATGACCTCATTGACGATCCCATCACCACCAACACATATAATACCTGTAAACAAGAAAAAAAATAGCATCTTGAAAAGTGAAATATACAGGAACTTGATTGCCAAAAAAAAGAAAGAAAAAGATACACAATTGATATTACCATCAGGGAATTTTTTGAGGTCAACAGTAGAAGAAAGAACCTTTGCATGACCGGCATATGCTGTTTCGATGACTTCCATCTTGAAGCCTGAAAGCTGCACCAAATCAAAATTCAAACGCAAACATATATAAATTACAGGTAAGAAAGAAGTGTATCTGAGGTTTTCTTCTAACACATACAGGATCTATTTTTTCACGGTTATTTACAGAACTAAACTGGTGATAATACTCATTTCTCTGGATATGACAGAAACTTTGATGAATGCATCAACATAAGTGTTAATAATTAATAGGAAGGTTTTGACTAAAAAAGGTAGGAACGTGTTACCTTCAATGTTGATTGCACTTTCTTGTAGAAAACATCCCGAGAGCTTCGGAATCCAGAATTAGGATTCAAAATGACAAGCACTTTACGAATAGCTCCCTGTTTTGTATTTGATTGGTCTTGTAAAACATTGATTGATAAATAGTTGGGCACTTCTTCTCTGCAGGAGGTACTAAGGTCTGATGAACAGTGTGGTACGAACTTCCTCTTCTGGGTTAAAATGTAAGTGTTCCGCTGAATTAATTTCCTTAATTTACGAGGCAAAGGCATCTGGTCCACTGGCAAACTTTGTAAATTAGTGGTATGAGAATACTGATAGTAGTAGTTTCTTGCACGACATGTACTGTAGGTGAGGCATCCATTAATTCCATTAACAGCAGCACTACAGGAAACCTGCCATGGTGATTACCGTGCATATGAGGAAAAGTGCAAAGAAATAACCACTAACTTAGACAGCATTGGTTAGGGTACACAGACTGTCAGGCAGGTGTATATAAACAATGACTGTTACAACAGATGATCTCAAAAGAGGTATTTTTTACACACTTGTTACAGATTAAAGCAAACAAGTAAGCCAGCACCCATGTGGTAGAGCCTATAAGGTAGACCATGCATCGATATTTGATACTATCTCTAGGCAGAAATAAATGTTGTTTCCGACCATATAATTGTGCTAGCTGCAGGCAAAGCCCGCCAGCCAATCAGAATCTCATTAATTTTAACCAGAGGGAGCAAGATATTTGATACTCCCTATGATCCCAAATATAAGTCCATCTAGTCTTCTCTCGAATCCACCAAATATAAATCCATCAAAACTTGGAGGCACCTTTTATTCTAATTCTTCCAAGTTGACCCCTACTAGGCACAATAATCAATGCAATAAACTTGCCATCTATGTTAATTTTAGCATTAATTGGTGCACAATGGCCCCATTGCACTACTCACCTTCTAAGCAGCACGGACACGGATACGTGTATCGGTATCGGACGGATACGGATACGCCATTTTTTTAGGAAACCTGATACGTGGATACGTTTTATTATTTTTTTTAAATAATAATAAAGGACATTAAAATTATTGGCAGCGTATGTATGGATGCTCTCTGGAGACTACTCCAATCATTTCACAGCTTCTAGTTGCTGCTTCTACCTGTGCTGGCAGTTGGAGGGGTATTTTTGGCATATAAATGTACAGCACGTCTTCCCTGCCTGTGCTTAGCTGGGCCCAAGATTAGATTTTTTAATCTTCTTTCTCTCCCCCAACATTCTTCCCCACACGGTGCCCCTTCAATCAGCCGTCTGCGCGACTGCGCTCCTGCTGGCCTGCTCCTCGCAGCTCCTCCTCCACCGGCGCCATGCCTTCCTCCTCCCACGCCGGTGACCGAGGTCCCTCTCGGCGCAGGCGGCCGAGCGACCATGGCTGCGCCCCACTCCACTCCAAGCGCGTGGCCAGCGGGCGGCCCGCCCGGCGCGGATGCAGCACGCGGACCTCGCCCAGCGCGGGGTGCGGCACGGCGCGTGGCCAGCGGGCAGCCTGCCCGGCGCAGATGCAGCACGGACCTCGCCAGCGCGGGTGCGGCGCGGCGCGTGGCTGGCGAGTAGCCCACCCAGTGCGTGTGGGATAGGCCATAGTATATCGCAGGTCAGTGGTGGGTGGGCTAGGCCGTATCGCAAACGCCCAAACAGCTTGGATACGTATCAGTCCACGTATCAGAATTTAGTTTTATTTATTTTTTTGCCGATACTTCACGGATACGTATCCACTGTGTGTCCGTATCGGATACGTATCCGTGTAACGTAGCTCACCTTAATTCTTGTGTCCAAGTGCAAATGGACTTATACAGCCTGTTAGCTCGTTGGTTTCAGCCAGGGCTTATCAGTCAGCCAACAGTGTTTTCCTCTCAAAACAAACCAGCATTAGCCGGAAACCAACCAACGAACATGCTGATATTTGGGAAAGGAGAGAGTAGCTTACATTACAATGGCTCTATGAAAAATTTGGTACAAATATCATTAGACTTAAAAAGCAAACATATATGCCCCCAAATATTCAATTAATTGTGTGCTACATGACAAATTCATTAGCTGCATAAGATCTGAAACTTCATCTAGCTTCCCCATTTTGACACAACGAGGACACTAACTGCACAACAGTGCGCAAGCAACATACCCCCCAAAGCTATTAGCTTTGTCCCCATCGGCTCGGCTACTCATCATAAGGTAAGAAATCTGATCTATTCCTCCCAACCCTCTCTCATCTTGTCCTCGAATTCCAGAAGTCAATAACTTTTCCCCTCCGCGTCCTCGCGCCCTCACTCAGCGACCAAATCCAATCGACAGCAACCGACGCGGACCAAACATGAAAGCAAAATACACACAGGGGGCCGAAGAGAACGGAAGGGAGAACTCACCGGGGGGCGGACAAGGCTTCTAGAGCTCATGATCGCTCCCGGCGCGGGGCAGTCCACGAGATCCAGTGGCGGCCTCCGTCCCTGCCCCCCGCGTCTCTTCCTGTCGTCACCGCACGGCAGCAGAGCAAGCCGCCGCGCGCGTGACTCGCGGCGAGGGGGGCGGCGGCGGCCCGGCGGCGAGCCGGGGATCGGGTGGGGAGGGGAGAGGAGCAGCGTCAGGCCGCACTTCTCAATCAAGTTCTTTCTCCTTTGTTTTTTCGGTGTGGGGAAATTCGTCCTTTTTATTATGACCGTCTGATCGGCTGGTCAGGATTATCGGCCGCTCGATGTGGACCATTTTGCTGGTACGTATCATCGTACGCCTACTAGTAACCCTCTTTAGCGAGAAGAATGACAATGCATCAAGATTTAAGAAACAAAGTGATGCTTGTTCAGTCATATCTGTGTGTAAAAAATATTATATTTTCAATTAACTTGTATATATACATTGTTTGCGGCAAAAGAACGCAATATTTCTTTTGTTTTGCCTCAACGTGTTAAATAAACGCGTTTCCTGTCATATGGAGGGGTGTTCAGTTGCAGCCTGCTGTTGCAGCTACGCTAAAATGTGAGTGGAGAAAAAGCCACAGCCACAGGCGCTGCTGCAGCGGCTTGTTCTCCCCTCACATGTTACTCGGCTGCAGCCTCCATAGTTACATTAATGCTTTGGTTTTCTTTCTGCGACTGCATGCTAACAGCCTGTTCGGTTGGCTGATTCGTTTCGTTGCTGGTTCGTGAAAAAATGACTGGTTTGTGTGAGAGAAAAATACTGTTCTGGCTGGAAATTTACGATCGTTTACGACAATCCACGGCCAAACGAACAGGCTGATAGTTAACCTTAGATGTTGCGTCTTCCAACCTAGATGTCTGTCTATGATAAGCTAGCTTCAGAACCATCGTCAACCCACTGAATCCTAACTATTGTACTACGCTGAAAGAACATCTTTCTAGCTCTAAATTCCTACTAAAGTTGTGGTTACATGCTGCTGCACGGTGCGAAAAGTAACAAATATAATTACATCGATATAATCTGTGGAATGTGATCATTATGGACGATGAGGAACAAACGCAGACATGGTGAACCACATCTACCAGCACGACAGGGTGTTGAATGGGTGTGTGACACAGCGTTCGATCTGTGGAACGTGCTGCACCCGGAGAAGGATCAGAGGGCTAAACTGAACCAGTGTTGGAATAAACCCCAACCTGGATGGTTCAAATGCAATGTAGATGGTGCTTTCTCGGTTACTGACCACACAGGAGCGACTAGTGTGGTGATACGAGATCATAAAGGACATTTCAAGGCCGGCCGCACGGTCTGGTATAGGTAGGCGCATGATGCTTTGTTGATGGAGGCAAGAGCTTGTAGGAATGGTCTTCAAATGGCACGGCAGCTTGGTATTTCCAAATTGTGTCTCGAGACCGATTGTTTGCAGCTGATTAATTTGTGGAACAACTTATATTCGCAGAGATCAGCTGTTAGCCTCATACTTCGAGATATTTTCAGCGCTAGCAGGAGCTTCGATGAGTTTACCTTTACTTTTGCTAATAAATCTTGTGATAGGGTAGCTCATGAATGTGCTAGACTAGTCTCTTGTGTCAAGGTACTGGAGGAGTGGCATGATAATCCCCATCCTGTCTACAAGGACTGCTAGCAAATGATTGTAATCACACGATGATATAATGGATGAAGCTCCTGATTACCTCAAAAAAAAAAGATATAATTATGTATGAAAAAACGACGTCTGTTGAATGAGTAGAAAAACAATTTTGAAAATAGTGGTACAACATGTGTATTTATCTATTTAGAAAATAAAGGGAAAACAAAAAAAAAGAAAAACAACTTTGTTATTCTGTGCTCGAGAAACATTTTTTTTCTCGATGGGGGAATATAGCCCATTTTTCATTAAGCAGAGAGAATTACACGACGCAGCTACGAGAGAACCCTCATAGCACAGATTACAAATCACCAAGCCAGTGGTATGTGACCTGGAGTAGAAACTAAGAACAAGAGAACATGAGACAAAAGCGGGCGACTGTCCATGACACCTAAAACCTACGAACTGAGCCTGTAAGAAGAAAGGATACAATATCGCAATGGTCGCCTACACAAAAGACCGTCCAGCAGCAACGGCGGCAAAGCATCCGCCAACAAACCAAACGGCGGCAAAGCATCCGCCAACGAACCAACCAGCGGCCAAGCATCCGCCAGTGAAATAGCGTAGGTATCCACTACGGCAAAGTATCCGTAGCGGGGGAAGGGCCAGGTCACTCTCGGCAGCAAAGCATCTGCAAGAGAGGAGGCCAACGACAATGGTGGCAAAGCATCCGCCAACAACCAACCAGCGGACAAACATCCGCGGGGGATAAGCAGTAGTGGCAAAGCATCCGCTACGATATCCACGACAACAAATAGGGTAAGGTCAACAGCTGCAGGACAGACCAAAGCGAGTCGAGACGACCACAACAGGCACAGTGAGGGGGACTCCTCAAGGAACCGACGGCAGGAAATAGGCCGATTCTTCAGCGACACCTTCAGGAAGGACGCCCATAGCGGTGACATGGACGTTGTGGCCCCTAGTCTTATAGGCCTCTAAGGCAAGGCTTTCATCCAGAATCTGGCGCTGGTGGCACAGGAACATGGTGCTCGAAGAACGACACCTCCAGGGAGGTATGTGGCGCCAAAGGCGTCACCGTCATTCGCCCGGCCGCAACCGGACTTAGCTTTCGCCCAAAGCACCATGCATCCAGAAGCACCGCCCCCACGAGGGGTAGCCGCAAAAGCTGTAGCTCCTGGGCGGGGAGGGCAGAGCCTGTAGCC